CCGACCCTACCCCCCATTGCATTCGATTATAACATTAAACATGTCTGTATATCCGTAGTTACAGCATTTAAATATGTGCTGGAGAAAATAAAGTTTCGATTTGAAGTTTAATAGATTATTTACTTTCATTGTTCATGTTCTCTTTGTAAAGATGTTTTTGTCGGATGATCCCGTTATGAACCCACCCTATCACACACTCTATTTAGTTATAAGGTCTAAATATTCATCATATCGAGATAAACATTAGAGGGTGTACGATTGTATGTTTAACCTATTATGTCATTTTGGGCTGGCCCCAGTTGTAACATAGTGATATGACGTTGACTGTATTAATTTATGTGGGTTGTTTTGTCTTCTTTGTTGTAATCAATACTATGTGTTACAATTCTATAGGATGAGGCTGGGCTCGGTTACTCCAGATGTCACTAATGGGGCATTTATAACCGGTGTGTAAGAATATGATATTGTGATATCAGGACGATATCGCTTTAAAACGTGTTTAAACTATAAACAAACAATCACACTCATCGTTTTTCTTTCATTTGATTTATTAAGAATAGAAAATTCAACATAGAATACAAAAAGGCACTGAAAAATATCAGATTTACGTAGACTGACCAGAATTTACACTTGCATAGAAATACAAATCTATAATACTGACAAAAATTAAAACACAGTTACCACGGATGTGGGGTTTCGGGGGATAGGATGTCACCGGCCTCTATATTCTTACTGTTCGTACTACCACCGGCATGGCACTTATACACAGGGCGAGGAGAATTGATAGGAAACATCATCAAGCATTGTTCACGAACACATTGAAATTCACAGTTTAAAAACCACATCATTCTGACCTCAAAATAGTTTATGAATATATTCATCTACAACCAAAACTATTATTAATTTATCAATATCTCCTTATCACTTTTGTATCATAATGGTTGGTATTTTTTTAATTATCAACCTTGAAGAAGATCCCACAGAATGCTATCACATGCATATACAGGCTATTTTCTACCTTTTTCGGTCACATCATATATATTATTCATTGAGAGAAATGATGCTTTTGATGCAATGCTTTCCTTTCAATAACAAATTAATTATAGGTGAGTGTTATGTTGATGCTATGGTTGCATAACTGTTGTTTCATTTGGGAGCAATTGGCCGAGGGACATTGATACATATCGCTATGGTAATGTCCGCAGTGACCATCAGTCCCGTAGGGCCGGGTAGTCCCCGGGGGAACGTCACACCTGTTTGATAGAGGTCTCTGGGCCGCACCCGCAGAATGTGAAGAGATATCACCAAAAGGTAAGCATTCATTAAACACGCTAGATTGGTAATTTGAGTCTGTCTGTTTTTGACTAGAATGTTCTGATTGTTTTGCATTATAACTTAAAGGTGTCTGAATACCGTCCGAAGGTCGGCGATTTCGTGAGTCGTTGTTGCGTTTCATTGGTTTCAGTTCGACATACTGAGGTGTGGACGACGTCACCATTTGACACTGACCGCTCGTACTAGGAGGCATATTAGGAATGTCTGTTGAGAAACGGGGTACAAACGACTGAAACACATCCGACTCAGTCGTGTCAGGGTAGGCTGAAAGCTGCGAACTGTGATCTAAGACGTCTATATTTACAAAATCATCGCATAGCTTATTTGTAGTTGTGTCGTGGAGTGAATTTCCTATGACATTTGAAAGGTATTGCGTTTCTTTGCCTTGTTTTTGTGCAAGAAGACTAGTTGATGAATCATCACACCCCGGTTCGGCTTTTACCCTGACCGAAGGCGAATTCTCCACACCCTTATCCGTGTCAGATTCGTACAAAAATCCAAATGGGTCCTTTTCTCCGTAGCGATCAATGGGCCGAGAAGATCGAAAGTCTGGTCTCTCTTGAGGATCTACAGGTAGACTAGATACCGGATACAAGATCTCTGGCATTGGGATACCTCTGGAACCGAATCTGTGTAAAAAGTTAACAGAACCACTCTTGGAACAAAAAGCAGAGTTGTGGACGGAGGAATCTGAATAGTTTCTAGACTGATTCGACATAGACGGGAAAAGAGTGGATAATAGATTTTGTTCCTCGTGTATATAAGGCCGATTTTCCTGTAAGTCACATGATTTATAGAGTCCTGACTGATTGTGATTTGTGTCCAATGAGAAAGGGCGTTGCCATGGTGATGACGATGCCTCATATATCTGTGGAGTCCATGAGTTAGAACGTCTTAGGACATCCGGTTGTTGGCCGTCCATATATGCTGATTGATACTGATTCACACGGATATGGGCACATGTGCACTCAAACGGCGAACAGGAGCACAAGTTGTCAAAACCTGGAAATCGTATCAAAACTGTACATTAAAATTATATTTATACACACTTAGTTTCATTATCATAAATAGAGTTGTCTTGTTAAATTAAATGATGGCTAAATCACAAAATAAAATTCCTTTAATTTATTAAAAATATTGCTGGAACTATAAAAAACATTAATTAAGTTAAAGACAACTTACTTTTCAATTTCTTTCTGTGTATTTCTTTGTGAACACCAGTACTGGAGGATCCTCGAAGTCTTTTTCGTACAGAAATATTCATCTGAAATAGAAAAACGCCGTGACATGTAATTAACCTGCTTCAATCTTACTATTATTCAATGTTAACTATTATCTTATTCGATAACGATTTTCCCAACACGTACTTTGGTTAGCAAATATCAAATCACACAATTGACATTGTTTCATTGTTTTCATGTTACAACGTATTACAAATGTACACCAGTTATAAGACTCAGAAAATATTCATTGTCTTAACTGATTGTGAACTTGTTGTCGTCTATTTTTGTCACAGGTAACCATATCCGTGAGAATTAAAGGCAGATGTATTTATAAACGTGTGAGTAATCGCAAAGAGAAAAAGAGACAAATAATGTATGGTAAGACCTACCATCATTAACTTTTCTTGTTGCCGAATTATCTTGTTATGCCGTCTTGCTTCTGCGGACGCCTTTACCTCTGGTTGTGGATGGTCGTGGATTCCCTTCGCCTGGAAATAGATGGCACCATGGAGATTCCGCCAAAAGTGGGTCACAGGGTAGCCACAATGACCTCTACAGGACATAAGTTCCAACCGTCCTGAGCAGCGGGAATTCGGACATGCTTTTCCTGAAAATAGAAGTCGGAGTAAAATCAATTCTTCTGTTTAAAAATGTGCCATTCGTTACCGAATGTTTTCATTGTCAGCTAAGTTAAATAAAACATCATGTTTCGACGTATATTTGAACGCAAAGATCGACTTAGTCCTTTAAAAGAAAACTATGTAATATACAAGGTATTTACCAACTTGCTTCCTCCTTGCTTTGTCACATATTGCTGGTCTGAGATGGACTTTGTCTCCGCTGTCAAGTGAGCAGTCATGACTACATACAAAGACACCCAGACAGGATTTCTTTAGGATGAGAGCATTATGGTTGTTGGTGTTACGCATGGCCCAGCCACTAACATGTCTCCTGCCGTCTTCCACATCCCCACTGTACACGTAGCGACAGTTACCGTCAGGCCATTCTTTGAACACATCGTACTCGTTAACCTAAAACAAACATGTTAAATTGGATAAAACCTCCTACGAGTGCAATATGATTTGAAACAGCATTTTTTTAATACATCATTTTAGTTAACATGAAAACAAAATTTGAAATTGTACAAAATCATTTGTATCTAATGCATATTATGTAGATTTATCTTTGTTATTTTTGAGAACTTTGATGTAAGAAATAAAAACCGAAAATGCAGTTTTCATTTACGTTTTGTGTTTACTAAGGTCGCTTTAGTTATTCCGGATTCGTAATATTTTATGTGAAGTCAAAAAATAAAACGAAAAATGTTCCTTTTTTTTTCATGCTTTATTGTTTCTTTCCTAAATTTATCAATAATTTCCTTGTTATTACTGAAAATGACATATTGTTGATTTTACTACATCAAATAGATTTGACAATAGTGTTGGATTGCCAAATATACAAATGCAAATACTATTACAAACATTTTTAATTTAAGTAAAAATACATGTTGAAATGCTCGCTACTTCAGACATTGACTATTTTAGTTTTAAGTGTGTAAAAATTGAATGTATTTTTATTAATACACTGCTATATATGAATTCTTCAACTATAGCATATTTTGAGAAACTAAAACAAATACCCGTCATATGCCTATTAAGAGCGTACAGTGAATAAATATATATAACTTATAAAATTAACGGGTTTACTTACCACCGGAAGAGTATTATCGTTAATGTCCCATTTGTGATGGGAAGACATGCGGTCCGAGTTGCTGTCCTGCATGCTGGGTAGGAACGTTGCTTCTTCTGTGAGGGTCATCATGGACTGTCTGCAAACACACAAACACAATTCTACATTTAAATACTTTTATGGTCCACAGCTTTTTTTCAATTAAATTCACAATTTCCTGTAGAAAAATGCAATATATTATAAAGTTAAACCCATCCTGGGGGCTGGTTTGTAACAAGATACGAACATTGTGTAACGTTGCTGTGATCCAAATATCATATAATTATAATATTTGAAAGAGGAGATGAAAATTTATCAAGTTTATTTTACACACAAATAGAAAAGACGTGTGGGATTGAGTCGAAAGCTAGTGTTTTTTGATTGGAAGAACCAGGGATACCGACTTTCCGGTCCTATTCTGTACGAAAAGGGAGCTACAAGAATTAGCTATCTATTTTGAAAAAGTTTGACACACAAGCACAGAATTGCATTATGACATCAATTACCACGTTCATAGAACGTGTAGTTCAGATTGCAAAATTATTAGTTTTTGACCTAACACGTGCAATTATGGGTAGTCATGAGTGGATGCTACGCTAGGGTCTTCCTTTAGTGTAAGGACGAATGATAAATGTACAATATTATAACAGATACCCAAATGATAATTTCTTCTGATTATACATCTTGGGCTTCAATTAGCATTTGAAAACCAGTTGTTGTTTAACCTGGATCGCCCTGCATGTCCCGGCATTAGTTAACAACCATGGGTTATTTGTTAAATAATCTAGGCGGATGAGAGATTCCATTTGTCATCAGTAACACGCTATGGGCGTGAGGTTCGGGATAGTACGTCTTTGTCTGCAAAACATTGTTCGCATCAAAAAAGCTAATACTGTGTGGTTAGACTGAAAGAGTAAGCGGCCTCGTTCTGTTGTTCCGGTGCCCTACACTTCACCTGTCTCGCCTATAACAGCGATGGCAGTGGTTGACTTCAGAAAACCCTATTGAATACGTTCATCATATTCTAAACACTGCACAAAGGAAGGCGGATCCTTTCGTAGTTTTATTATCTGTATCATACAGTTTCTGTACATTGGTATTGTGTCTGGCAGAATTGTTCATAGTCCTGTATATATTTCTGTGTGTATAATCAATAAACTATGTCTGTTTTAGAGCATAAATATTGTGTATAATTAGATAACCACAATATGCTAATGAAGTAAAGATCCATACAGACATACCAGAACAATTGTTTTCATTTACTTTCTTTATGTACATCATTCGGTTAAATGTAAATATGTATGCTTACAATTGTAATGTACAATTATATCAATTTAAGACTATTCGCTAACAATTATAATACACGTTGAGTTATATTTAAGCTTCATGCTAACAATTTTGTTGTGTCATGTATGTTCAAGAATATATTCGTTAGCATTTATTATGTATGTTTACATCTGTTTCAGACTATGCGCTAAACATTATCACTTCGATTATATATATTCAAGTACTATGCGCATTCATATATTTTCAAGACAATACCCTATAGTTATTATGTTATATTTTATTTATGAATATTATCAAATCACAATAAAATGTCGATTGACACATCCATGAAGGTATATTTCAAATTGATTGCTTAAATCTTAATGAAGTATTTTTTTTATGAAAATGAATAATATAAGGACATTATATTACTATGAAATTAACTTCCTTGAAATATTAATAATAAAAAGTTTGTCTAATCTACATAATAATCTTTCGACAGTGTCCGTGCAGTGTTTAAGATCAGCTGGTGAAATTAACAATATTCAAATTATAAACATGAACATTAGATGAATCAAACTGATTGGTGGTCAAATGAAGTAAATATTTTACTGAGGAAGATTCGATTGGCAATATTTCGGAAAATGTTGTAAAATTTTACGGTAAAACACAAGCATTATCACCGCCCTGCCAAATTCATAGGAAAAGTGTGACATATTGATAAAATAGATTTTTGAAGAGATGCTACTTCAAATTTGTGCTTGAAAGTTAAAAAAAAAGTTTTATGACTCAAAGAAATTTGATGGACATGATTACACAGAAATGATAGAGAACGATTTCCAATGTATTGTTATTACCCGTACACGTAATGCATTTCAAAGTATGACATAATGACCGTAGGTTATTTTACTCAAGGTTTAATGGCAATGAAAAGCTATCAACGTCCTTTAAATTCTCGTAACTTATTCTCCGATATCCTTTTATTACTTTTCTATTCACACGGAGAGTACCGTTGGTTTCTGTGATCTTAACGCGTGAACACATCACTCAAGGTTGACTACAGTCTGCCATAAAACAAAACATGTTGTATTTATGAAAAGAAAATGTGTGATTTTATAACGTAGCAACAGACATTGTGTTATCATTCATCTTTGTTGGACAGTAAAGCGAGAACAAACTTGTCATCACAATTTCATAAAAGAAAAAAACGGCTTGAAATATCACACATTACCAACCTACTCATCCCACCTTCTGATAAGCATACCTTTAATCAGTGTTTAACATTATAAGGCTATAAATAGTCATTTTTAGTATCGTCTTTTTAATGCAACTGTTTCGCTTCTGTTAAAATTATTTAATGACAATTTAATTGAAATTCTGAGATGCCCAATTTTTCGAATGGTTTACTTTATTAAGTTTGATTGTGGCACAAGCAATAAAAGCATGCTTTGTATCTTCAAGTGTATTATGATAGTACAATTAATAATGTATATATCATTGTTTGAATACAGTAAAACGAAAGTGTTGACTTGCCATTGGAATTTAAGAACAAAATTAATTTTCTTTAATTGGGATATTTATCAAATGTTTAGAGTTAACAATATCTACCAAGTCACAGATAATGTATGTGCCTTATACACTGATATCGAGTAGCAATTTGGCTACGTTATACGATTCAAATTAATAAGTACCATCGTGGTTTATTATCTCGCTGAAAAATATTTGTGTTTCGCAGGTTCAGTTTAAAAGGACATTAATTTTTTCTTTTCTTTAAAAGTCTTATTGATAGTAGCTTTAGGTCGACATACAGTTTTATATTTCATTATTAAAGAAAATAAAAAGATTACGAAAGAAACCTTGTCTTATAAAACATGAAAAGAAAAACAAGGGTATGACTGAGCACATATTGGCACCTTTAACTATAGTTTTTACTTAATCTCACGCTCGACCAATTAATGTTAAAATAGAGTATGTCTTTTTTAGCTACTGCACACGTGACCGGATCCGATGTTAAGTTTCAGACTGTTTCGCATATCAAACATTGAACAAAGACCTGATTCAATTTCCGATGGGTTTACAAATAACAATATGTCATTTTCGTTTGCCCTGAATTATCTCCCTCCCACTCTTGTCGTTTTCAATTACATCATAATGGAGCCTATCAAAAACACGCCCCTCTATGATGTCAGGGCGAACATGAGTTAAACGCCCCGACTAATGACATTAATTCCCGTGGTGAATAGGACAGAAATGCACATTCTATGATGCAAATAGAGAACTTTGTATAAGAAACTTTATAATACACGACTATTGTTCCTGCTGGAATTCCGAAAATACAAAACTTGCATTTCTTTTTAATTCGATGTTATAAAATTAATTTATATTTTCCTTACATATCATGAATTCATTATTGTTGTCCTAACTGTTATGTTTTCATATTATATAATGATATTGCTAAAGGCAATCATATTTTCCTTTGTTTACAAAAAAAATACAGTTTTGTACATTTTCCGGTAACACAGATACTCTTAAGCATCGCTCTTTTACTTTAAAATGTTTGTCTTTTCAATAACCTATATGTCATACAATAATATCATATTTCAGAAAATTAATGATCAAATATATAATAAAGTTGCATACTAAAACAAAATGCAATTCTTCTTCTTTTAATATTATAAAAGATATCTATTCTTTGCGAGACATAAATGCCACGACAATGTGTCCCGTTAGAAGAACCTTCAAAACCACGCTTATCACTTGTATCAGTTTCTTTTCACTTTCAGGGAACATTGCGCAACAATGTGTGACATACACATCCATTACGTGGTTTTATGGCTGGGAGGGTGACAAATTGAAACGTTTTAGGATGCTCCAACGGCTTGATAGTATTACACGAACAGGTGGCACCATTGAAAACTAAGGTATGTGAGTAGAAAGTCTTAGCTACCTCTGTTAATTCAGGTGTAATCTCTTTAAACATCTTCTTTAAAATATAGTACATTATGTATATAAACCCAACGAACAGCTGCGCGTGTGGATTTATTTTGAGATAAAGAGTGTTGTAAAATATAACACTATAGATAAAAAGCGTTAGAAAATTTTAAGGATATGTTAATATAAATATCTTGAATATGAAGAAACATGTATCTTTAAATATCAAATGAAAATGAAACGCTTCTTTTTAAGCAAAAGTGTCCATTGTCATATTTTAAAGCTAAAATTGAATTGATCACATACAAATCATGATTTTTTTTTTTATAAATTTGATAAGCCTACACCAACACAGGATGCTACTCGTATTTTGACTCTCGTTCTATAGCTAGAGGATAACTTGATTAAAACGGAGATATTACTCAGGACGCCTGTCTGTCACACTGTTAAAACCAGGTATGATATTTCACTGAACTTTTCAGATATGTAGACAATATACTGTCGCGTGCCTCCAATTAGTGTAAATATCCCGTCATACCTCGTGGCAGATCAGAGGTCGAATAACGCACGTGTCAGCCATGCGTGAAGCTTGAGGCCACACTATTTACCTTTGCATGTATACATTTTCAAACAATTTAGATATTGCATGGTTTTTTTAGTAATGTTTTGATTTGAGTAAGGAATTTTTTAAAAGAATATTAACAATTAATCAAATGTATGGTAGGTATTAATTCATATAACTGATATAACTTAAGAAAGTTGATTTACAATAGAAGGATATATTGCCGTTCTAAATAGAAAAAATAAAACCTTTGCAAATCTTTATTTAATTTTTTTAACTTATTTTTGGAATCATTGTAATATTTAATATACACTATTTTTTTGTTGAATTTGGAAAGCTGATTTTACAATGGATGTATATTAAAAACAATTTTAAAGTCAGCCACCAAAGTGTTCATTGTTACAAATTGTGTGTAGCGCTATATTATATAAACTACAGCAATTAATTGATAAGCAACGATTCATCTTAGTGTTTTGTTCTTTGTTTTTACTTCATAAAAAATGTCAGCTACATTATCCTTTCACAATAATAATCAGAAAGATCAGTAACGTTTCTTTATCGAACTATAATTTTCATGGACAAGAAACAGTGGTTATGTTAGTTCCACTAACGTATTGCTATATATTTATTAAACTCAACTCGTTGATTGTTTTACAGATATTTAGAATACTCATATTTATTGAATGTCATTCACAATATAACGCGAAATATTATTAATTTTATGATACACCATCGTACCAAATAATCGATATTGAATATTCTACAAATAACTAATATTGAAATGAAGAAAATGAAATACTCACCTACATGTATCTAAATCCCGGAACTTCTTACACTTTAAACGTCGGAGTCTAGCAAATGTAAAGTGTCGGGGAAATTATGCTAACGCGCATACATTTATATGATCTTCTATTGATCCATGCCATATTTCAAAGACCAATGAGAATCAAGAACGGGATGTGTGCGTCACGCCCCCTGCTATAACTGGTAATTCGTCATCACCTCTCACATCTCCGCTTGTGTTCACAATATTTGTTTTCCGATAGAACTATGCATCTGACGAATCGCAAGAATTATGATAATGTTTTTTATACTATTTCTACGAGAGTAAAGACTCTCGCACCTGCTGCCGAAACCTCAGTTCGGATGCAATTGGTGTCCGCTTGCTTTTTAAATTTCCGGTAATTATGTTTTTCATTTTTTTCAACTGGTACGATAATCGAGCGTTCCCTTTGGTAGTATATTGTCTACATAATGTGGAGTTAACCTTACTCCCTTCCTTAAATGATACCCCTATCTCAGGAAATATCATTCACTAATCGATAACGGAACGTTGGTAGCTTGATTTAAAGTTTATTAATGCGAAACCCATATGAAAATTTATCTTGTTTGCAAGTAGAACATTTCAGAAAAAAACCACCCAATTAGGATGTCTCTTGATAAAAATAAATCAACTGGAATAACTTTAATATAATCGCAGAACAAAACAAAACGAGTATACAAATTAGTGCTCAAAATAACTGAATATCAAAGTACTAAGAACAAATTTGTCAATCAAACCTATTGAATCAAAAGACAGTTTTTCACTTTTGACCTTTTTCAGAAAAAAAAGTAATCATTTGTAATGCCATGGAACTTAGACAGACATACTATTTTATTCCCCAGGTTGAGTAACTTGTTCTACGAAAATATGTTACTACTAATTAATTAATACACTATAGAAGGAAAGCTAAAAACCTGCTTTATAATTCAAAAACATATTCAGGTATCAAAGGAGTATATACATTTTTTTGTGTATATAAATTTTGTTTAAAGACGAGTATATGAATTAGATAAATATGCGCAAATACATATATATATATGTATATTGAGTTGTGCTGATCAACACGTAGATATAATACCCACATCGTCTCACTTTCTCCGTAAAACACCAATAATACCAACTTTGACACTACATTTGTATGTCGTAATCATATAGCGGTTCAATTTTTTGTGTAGAATAGAATCATTTTTGTTTGAATATATATTATTTGTACACTTACATATAAAAGGTCTCGATTTTTGTTCACGTAAACGTTATATTATGCATCATACTGTACCATGTTTATATGCTATAAGTATCGGTATCATATAATATTTATACATTGTATATACATTATATCCTATTTATATACATTGTATCCCGTTTATATATTGTGTCCCATTTCTTAATTGTATCCAATTTATATACTGTTTTATTTTAATACACTCTATTCCATGTATATATTTTACCCTATTTTTATGCTTTGTTTATATTATTGTCAATTTATAAACTGTGATTTTTGATATATTGTATTCTATTTATGTTCTTTTAACCTTTTTATGTAGAACATGTGACACCTACAATATCAATTAAAAAATAATGTTAATTTGAGAAGTATAAACCACAGTATGAATTTTCATATAACAACCACTAGAACTAGAGTTATCAGTTAAATTCATTAATCGTATGCCTGTATACATAACTAATTTACTTTAAAACAAATACGGAAAAAGTACAAAAAATAAAACAACCCTAGAGTCAACACAATACACAATATCAGGAAGAACATCATGAACCCCGCAAAGACGGCAAAAAAGGTTATATATCGATATACCTCTATATACAGGCGCTGGTAACCTATTATATTATACATTTGATCGTTTGTAGCCGACTTTCGCTTGACCCGCTTACTTTCTTGTCAGCAGGAACCCATTCTGTGGTCTACTGAATGCCAGCGATACATAAACATAGTGAGGAAGAGATTTCCGGACCAGGATCATAGCGGGGGGTAGCTCGGGTTTGTATCTCCATTGTGCCACGTACAATACTGGTGAGGGAGTCGAAGCGTGTCACCGGTTGGGAGCTCATCTTTCTATCATTACCCTGATTACTGCCATATTAAAGATTCCGATCCCCGAAATAAAATCTCTGTGTGTAACAGTTTATAAACTAGTGACGGAGCGTGCTGTCTTGATGATGTCAATCTGTGTTACAGTACGCGACACAAACCCGTTCTATGTTGACACATGTGAACACATGCTACCCGAAATCACTATCATATTACGTTTAGCATCATTTGTTTATACTTATTAAATGCAACCTTTGAATGATGATATTGATTTAAAGTAGCTTATTGTGTATCTTGATTTAAGTCTTTATATCTTAACACTTCTTTATAGAAAAGAAACTCTAGTAATTGTACTTCGACCGAAATATTACTGAATGTCAGTGTATAACCCTTTATGAAAATCGCTTCTATCATTAGGGTAACAATTGCAAACTTGAAAATGAAGGTTTTGCATTAATGACAAGGGACTTATTAATGCATTATTTGATTTCTACTCGCTACGCTTCGAACCTGATTTTGCTGACACTAATTGCTGGAATTTTCGCCATAGCATTTGTTTTCTATTCATTTAAAATCAAATTACTTAAAAGTGGGGTTATGTTTCCTGTAGAGCTCAGAGCATTGCAAATGTATTCATATATAATCTATCAATATGAAAACATTTATCAAAGTGTAATGTTATAAGTATAGCCATTTTCCTATCAGTTAATATAGTATCGACACGTTTAGCGTTTGTTGTACAAAGCATATGTCTGTTTGTACTACAATAATCACTATATCAATATAATGGTATGAAGGCAGTGTGTTTGTGAAATAGAAGAGTAAAATAACGTACACCAAATTGTTATGATATCTTTTCGTCTCTTTAGATATTGAAACAAATGACATACTCATTCGTGGTATTAAACCAAGCAAATGCAGAAAAGACACACAGTATTTTCGTATCCTATTTAGAAGATTGTTTTCTCCCAAACCAAATAGAATACTGTTCTCTTTAGTTAAAGTTACAAAATGAAATAAAGACATTTTTGTTAAGAATGTTATGAACAGATAAACGTTTGCTACGGATGTTTGGTGTGCAATTAATATAGATATGTTTGTAGGTTTAGCATTCATAAAGATATGTTTAGGATGTTATTAATATAGAAATGTTTGTTTAGGACGTAACTTTATAAATAAGTTTATTGATGTAATTGGTGAAGATATAATTCTTAAGAATGTAATTCATATAGATATGTAATTTTATAAATGTTTTAGTTGAGGTTGGCGTTCACATAGATATAGTTTTTGAGGATGGTTCTCATATTGATATGTTTGTTAAAGATATAATTAGTGAAACATGTTTGCTAATGATGTTATTTATGAAGACACGTTTGATAAGAATACATAGGAATGCTTGATTAGGACATGTAATTCATGATATACTCTAATGATTACACAGATTCATCATAATACACGACTTATTTGCATGGTCAGTCTGATTTTCCGTTATTATATATAATGCCTTATTCGAAAATGTATCATATGTATGAAGCTATCTTTCCTGAGAAGTATGTTAAAATAGAACGGCCACCCCAGTCTTACATAACGTAACCTGTATATATCCGCAAAGAAACTATAGCATCACTGCAGTAGACCCCTATCTCTAGACACGCTATCACGGACAACATTTAAATCAACAAGCTTCTTGTATTATACAGGTTTTTTTTGCACTTTGATGTGTCAGACATTTCTTTGATTTTTTTTTTATCTTCTTTTTTAGTTCTTTTGTTTTGGAGAACAACAGCTAATCTGTCCTTAATTTTTGTGTCTATTTGGAAATTGTGAATAGATACAACAGAAAACGTGTTTTCTGCTAATCCTTGTAGTGTTTTTCAATAGTCAATAAAACATCATAACAAGACAAACTACTTAAGAGCACTTCTTTTGTAACTTAGTTATAATAAGTGCGCGAAATACACATTGCACTTGAAAGTAAACGGGTAGTTTTTAGCGAGACTAAATCGAGAAGATGATATTGTATTGTTTGGTTTAATTCCTAGAATATATAAAAAAATAAATAATTTGTATTCGTTTAGAGTTTTCTCGTGCTTATTTTGTGACTTTTTTCAAAATTTAGCTAACAATACGTTATTTTTTCTGTTATGTTTGGTTCCAAGCTATCAAAAGGTTCAAGAAATTAGAATTTCTTTATCCCAATTGATCAACAAGAATCAATCAGATATTTTTTTCCACATGAAAAGACAATTGGAAAACGTATGATTTTTTTTTTAGATACTTCAATAATCTGAGCTTGATCTAGATAGATATTTAAAAAAGAAAAAAAAAAAGGTTCTTAAGTATGCGGAAATCAGGATATCGTAGTTTGGTAACTGTTTAAACCAGATCTTAAGCTTCAATACAATAATACTTTTTATGAAATGTGTCTTATGCTTCAAGATTTTATGTGTATTTTGCACATTTGAATTAATTGTGAAAAGCTTGTGTTGATCAATTCAAATCAAATGTATTCTCCTATATTTTGTCTTCATGCACAGATACATTTTTGTGATCTCTTTTGAATATTCGAAAATATTTAAAATCGAAATAGACAAAATGCAACAAGATCATTGTTTGTTTTTAAGGTTTCTTTACTGATTCACTCTAATGAAGCGTCTATTTATGCCTCTGATATTCAGTTAACAGAACCATGTTTTATTGACAGAGTAATGGAACCGGAAATATTTGGATAAACATACAGTAAATATATCAAATATGAAATCGATATCATTTTCTTGTACTCAACATTTCCTCGACACGTAGAAAGAGATATCAAAAACAAGAGTTATATTGATCACGATTTAAATGCGTGGTTGATCTCGTTATTTGAACCAAAATATTACTTACCTAGATATCGCAAACGAAAGTAAAAAAAGGATAAGACTTAGGGTCGAATTGAAATATTTTAATGAATAACGTATTACAAATCCATTTTTTTCTGTGACACTATGATAA